CCTTCTTTGTGAACCACACGTGTCACGAGAGTTTCTCTGTCGAACGGGGCAAATCTTACACTTAGTGGGGAATGAAGGAACAGCAGCTGCCTTTTGAAGAGGCTTGTCATGAACTTGGTATGGGAGGCCAGCAGGCAAGGTCTAGGAAGAAGTCCTAAAGCTGTACTTAGTGCAGTGGGTAAGGACACTGAAAAGGCTCTGTGGCAGACCTGTATGGCCTGCCAAGAGGCCCCTGCAGGAGAATCATACTGAAGACTTGACAGTGGTAGTTGACACCCTCCCGCCATGAGGTCCAACAACAGGCAGTGGCTTCCATCTGCTGAACAAACTGAGATTGGCTGGGGTGACTTCCTGGGAGAAGGTGGATGTGAAGTAGTAAGCCCTAATGAAAAGAAATCCCAAAGTAAAGCCCACAAGGCCTGTAAGTTCTGTTAGCTTCATTAGGCTTTTAGCCAACTCACAGGAAAACCCTAGTGATTCAGTGGGGGAGTACAGCAACCAGAGAAGTAGGGAAAGACAGCATAGATCTAGACCTTGGGCAGCTTAGGGAGGGAATTATACTACCAACCTGGAGCCAATGTGCCAATAAAATGCCCAAGTCCTGGGACTTGTCACCCCACTACCTGAGCTTGTTACAGTCGTGACAGTTCCTCCAATTATTTTAAGCCAGATATCACCAAGTTCATTTATTTGCATTTATGAATACATCTGGATAAAAATATAATATATATAGCCTTTCTCCTCCACCTTTCTATTGTTTCTGTTCATTTTTGACAAATTATATCCTTCAATTGCTATGCTCCAGTAATGGGACTCAACCCAGCATGTAAAGATTGGAGATAAACTAGCCCCGTCCACTAGGAATAGGAATAGGAATCCACTATTATAACTCTATCTTCAACCTGTTTATACCTGTTAAATCATATTTGCCCTTCCACACTAAAAAAAAAAATTCCTATTAAGCATTACCATATAGACAATGAAGACTTTGTGTAAAAAATGTTCTTTCCAGTTTTTCACTGAAGGCCCAATTTCCTTCTCCCATTTCCTTTCAAATTGCACTGTTGTTATCTAATGTCATTATTTCAGGTTTTTTTCTCCAACCTAAGTTGGATTCAGTTTAAAGCCTTTCTGATCAAGCTGAACATGCTTCAGTCAAGCACATTACTTTTCTACTTAAGGTACAGCCCAACTTACGCCAGCAGTGTATCACTTAGGTAACTGAGACTATGGTCTCAGAAACCATTTTTCCCACTGACACTATTTCCATAGTAAGTCATTCATTTGGAAGACTTTTTTCCTCTCTAGTTTTCTTCCAGAGTATGGATGAGAAGACTAACTGGGTTCCCCAGTTTTTCAGCTTCTTTTCTAGATAAGTTTGTAACTGCTTTTGGAAGTATTTCTGTTCCAATCTTCTGATTTTTTTTCAAGCATATTTATATACTTGCACATGCTACAAAAATATGTACTTAGGTAAGAACTCTGTTCACTTTTGTTTCTTAAGGTACCATCACTACTTTCTTGTTCTTTTCTCAGTCTAGCTCAGAACACACTGTTTAGAGGGAGAATTTCCAGGAACCCCCACCAAACTCTATTGACAGCCTTCCTGTTGGATGTATTGTCAAAGGCTTCCTGTTTGTTCTCCCAGTTCATACATTGAGGGAGCTCACTCTCTAGAAGATGGCTGTTATGTTCCTCCTATACACGCTGCTTAGTTAGCAGGGAGCAGTCACTCACACATGGGGGATCAGCAACTCTGAAGATAACCTGTAGCAATTAGTATCTTTTCAGGAGCTCCATTCACAGCTGAGTACATAGTCTCTTAAAACATATAGTTTCTCATGTTGCTTTCCTCTCTTCCTTGTCTTTCCTGTTGAACACCTTTTACCAGTTCCTCTTGGTTCTTCATATTTGCTTATGCTATGGAATCAGGAGCTATTTTTTCTCTATCTCATTCTTCATCTCTAATGATTTTTTTCTCTTTTTCATAGTCATTCATCAAGATTAAAACTGGACCTTTTTAAAAACCATAATTATAAAAAAATTAATTAGTATGAATTATGAGTAGAATTAGGGCATACGTACAAGGATTTGCCAGATGCATTAATTGAAAATGAAAACATCACTCCCCAATGGGTTATTAATGGTTTTATATGAACAAGTGTTGAAGTCAACCTGTAATCTAATTCCATGAAGGAGTACCATAAATATATTACAAATGTTGGTCTAAGAATCACGCTTCCAAATAATATGCAAGCTAGTAGTTCAGTTATCTTTATTTGGTAATGATTTTTTATCTGTTCTTTTCATAGGGATGAATTCTATCTCTGTATCCTTAGAAGAAAACAGTGGAACTTTAACTGAAATCTGTCAAAGCAAAGTATGTTCTCACAGGTGGGTAGAATAGGTATATGAAATGAAAGCTTATATAGTAAAAAAACATTGTATAATGGAAAGGAGACCAGTGAATACCTTTGGATGCAACACTAGTGCAATTATTTCACTATAATTTCACACTAATCTCAGCTACATGTATGAGCTGTAGGTTCATACATTCTTCATACATATACATCCCTGTATATGTATGCAAACATGTGCAAACAGTGGCAATAGTGGGATAGAGTATTTTGTTATGGAGAACAGCAATTTGAACACAAAAGTGAAGCCTGAATGAATGAGTAGTAAGGGTTTTCTTTTCACTTGGGAAGTCCTTTGAACCAATTAATTTGTAGATTTTTAGGTAGGTTAATTTTTAGGCAGGTTTATTAGGTTTAGGTATGTTTTTTAGGTTTATTTGTATCAGATATTCATTGCTTCAAAGTCAGAACTGTAAGGATCTTTTCCTCTTTTACTCTCAAAAAAAGGGGGGGGACAAAAGAACACCAACAGATCTTTAATCAGTTTTTTTATTTCATTATCTCTAACTTTCAAACAATGGACAGTTATGGTAAAGCTAAGACAGAAAAGAAGGTGCATGCTGCTAAGAGGAGGCAAAATTATGTAGAACACCTACAAGAGAGACAAGGATATTAGTATGTTGACTCTGAGGAAAAGTGCCAAAAAGGCCTAGCAGAAATTGCCTGAGGGCATGGAAACTAGCAAATGAGATGCAGAATACTAAGATGCAGATTGAACTAAGAAAACAAGAATTAAAGGAAAATTGCACCACTTGTAAGGCTGTAGAGAGTAAGGAAGATGAGGGGTAAAAAAAAATTTAAATCCACAGCAGACAGATAATAGACAAAGGGTAAAAAATATTTTAAGTCCAAAGTAGACAGGTAATATTTGGAAGCGGCTCAGATAGACACCTCCATAATTCATTGAACTATAAGGAGGAGGAACAACATAATCGGACTTGCAAGATTCTGTTATTATATTCAATCTCAATAAAACTAGTTTTAGCCTTCCTGTGGAGTTTATTTCTTGGTCTGATCTACCTAGTGAGGCTAATAGGGCAGAGGAAAAAAATAATGATTGAGAGGCTGAATTCAAGCTGGCCCTAGAAGAGAAAAAGATGACATATCAGGCAGAAATGGCATAGTCAGAGAAGCGGATTGCTTGACTGCTGACCCCTCCCAAGACCAGTGCCCAGTAATGAAGCACAAATTCCCTGAGTAAAAGAGAGAGAAGACCAGGCTTGGGCTTACCCCTGAAAATGCCCAGAAGTTCACAACATCAGTAAGAAATTCAGCAATATCTACTCAACATTTATCCATCAGATAAAGAAAGCCAAAGAGATTTGGTTGCAAAGTGTGGGGGCACAGACACACAATTAGAGATCACCAATATGTTCCTTGAACAGTTCTTCCAGTCTTTACCTGAGCATCTTCAAGAGCAGGAATCAGGGTCTCAAGACTAAAGACTCTCACAGAGATGGAAGAGTTGATGGAGAACCTGCAGAGGGAAGTACATTTCAGACAATGCCTGGTTTGTGGGTGTGCAACTTCACAAAAGCCTTCAGAAGAGCTTCACACAGCCAAGCCTAAGCTGAGAGTAAATACATGCCTGAATCTGGAAATAGCTCCAGCCGCAGCTGAAGTAGCAGGGAGTGAAAAAAATTCTTCCTGACCTTCCAGCAACACTTCTCCCTGACCTTGAGAAAAGAACTCTGGGAAGAGCAACTCCGCTGGAATTGTGTCAGAACCATCCCCTTCCCTAGAACTAGCTCCAGAAGCTGCAGCTGACTAGTGAGAGAGCCAGGACAGTGTTGGGATGGAGACCTTCTGGGAGGCACAGGAGGGTATCACAAGTCTAGCTGCAATCTAGTGCAATCTAGTTCGCAACCACCTCAATAATCATGTGGAGAGGGGCGGAACCAGAGACTAACCAAAAGCTTCTACTGGGATTAATGTAACATGTTACATGGATATGATGCAAGCAGTAACTCTGGGTATTACTGTGATACAAGCAGTATATTTTAACATTGGTAGATTATGCAACCCAATGGTCAGAAGCAGTGGCCTTGAGCCAGGCCTTAATGGATATGTTCATTAGAATAGAGTGGCCATTGAGATTCCTCCAGATAGTGGCACAAACCTCAGGTCAGAAATGATTGCAAACCTATGGGCTGCATCTGATGCTGGTTGAGCATCTGATGTTCACAAAATCTGATGACACAAAGCAACCACCTTGGAGACCAGTATCAAGATTCTGGAGGATCTTGACAAGCTGGAACCATAAGAAACCCAGAGGATTAATTTCAACAGGGAGAAATGCAAAATCCTAAGTTTGGGTAGGAAAAATAATCAGAGAATATAGAGCTCTACGTGTGAAAAAGATCTGATAGTTCTGATACATCATAAACTGAACATGAGCCAGCAGTATGATGCAGCTGCCAAAAAAAAGGGGGGGAATGGAATCCTAGGTAGCACCAGCACAAATTTAGTGTCACCATCTAGGGAAGTCATTATTCTTTTCTATTCTGCATTCGTCAGACTAGACTAGTCTGGAGAGAAACCAAGATGATAGAAGAAAAAACTTAAGAAGATTTCTTTTTAAGTATCTGAGGGGCTGGTGTGTAACAGATAGGGCAGATCTATTGAAAGTTATTCCAGAACATAGGATAAACAAATATAAGGATGCAGATTTCAATTGGACGTCAGGAAAAAAATCCTGATTGGTAAGAGCTGTTCAACAGACTGTAAGAGGTGATGGACATCTTTGCAAGAGGCTGGACAGACATCTGTCAGAAATGCTACAGTAGTATTTTCCTTCCCTGTGTAAGGGATTGGATTACCTGATCTCCAAGATCCTTTCCAATATTTCCATTATATGATTCTGTTATAAATTTATCCAAGCAGTTCTGATTCAAACAGGAGCAGTGAGGCCAACATCCAAAGTAAAAAGTTATCAAAGACAAAATCCCATTGCAGCATTCCAGAAAAAAGCTTGCATTTTGTAAGCCTTGCAGAGTGGGCGGCTACAATAAATTTAAATAATAAGTGTTTTTCTGTTTTTACACTTTAAAGAAGCTGCATGACTATTTGTGGGGGCATAATAAAACTTACATGAAGAAAATAGGCTGGTCATTTTCTTATTGTTCTGGAATTCCAACCACACAAAAATTGGATTGGCAACAAAAAGATTTGAAAGGGTTTTTTATTTTTAAAGAATCTTATTAGAGGTCAATAAATCAGTTATAAAAGTTTCAATAGATTTCCTGAAAACTTCCAGCTGAGATTCTCTGTTCTCAACCACATTGAATGCAGTACTTACAATATTAATAATAGCTTTAATAATTTTTATATACTCTCACATTTTCAAAAGGGCAGGCATAACTTCTCAGAGGCTGTCACAGCTGTCTCCTTAGGGATATCAGGATAATAAAATTGCAGGAAATACATGGAATATAGCACCATTTTGATGAAAATTTCCTCTCAGTTTCTAAAACAACCCTAACCTCTGAATCATTTTTATACTCTAAATTTTCTTCCCTTCCTAGGCAGGATCCCTTTGATTATAATCTATTTTTATTTCTGTATAGATCAAAAAATCATTCTCAGAAAAAGCAATTTGACCCAAAAAAGTCACATCTGAGATAGCAAAATCCAGACGTCGTTCTTACAGGCTTTGCTGTGGGAAGCATCTTATTTTCTTCTCTACTTGGGGCATATACCTTGAAAAGAATAAGTGACATGTTCAATTTCTTTCCCCCTTTCCTGTAGGAAAGGTTTAGAATAGAATATTTGAGGGGCTAGTGAATGAGAGGTTTTCTTTGGACTCTACAATAAGTCTACTAACTGATGTGCCAAATTCTTCCCTTTAACATCTACCTAGAAATGATGGGAATAATAGAGACAAAGACAAAAAGACAAAAATTTGAGAAGCAAGCTTCTAAAAACTATTAAGACCATCAATTTTCTTAAAAAAGATATATACCAGAAGGGCAAAATCATCTAAGGTTGGATTATTGTGAGCATTGGAGAGCCAGTTTGGTGTAGTGGTTAGGATACCAGGCTAGAAAGCAGGAGACTGTGAGTTCTAGTCCCACCTTGGCATGAAGTCAGCTGAGTGACTTTTGGCCAGTCACTCTCTTTCAGCCCTAGGAAGGAGGCAATGGCAAACCACTTCTGAAATCTTGCCAAGAAAACTGCAGGAACTAGTCCAGGAGTCAACACTGATTCAAAGACACAAAGAGAGAGAGAGGAGAAGAGGACTACAAATCTGCTGAATGAGTTTTTTGCATCTGTTAATACAATACAGAATACAGCTATAACAGCTACAACAAAATTCTGAATAGCAGTAAATAGATATTAATTACATACCAACCTACATTAGTTTTCTAACCAAAATAGACTTTTGAATCTCATACTTCTTTCACTTTTGTTCCTTAAAGAGTACAGACATATGATTGTGGACAGAGACTAGCTGATTGGTTTACTGAGTTTCTCAGTCGGCAGTGCCGTCTGATTAGACAAAGTTCAGACATCAGAAGAAATGCTTCTAAGAAGAATAAAAAAGGTAAATATTTTGCATCTTTGTTAGAGAATGAATAATCTAGTGTTGTAAATATTAAAGACGTAAGGGTTATATAATGTGTTATAAAAAAAAAACCAGTCACCATAATAATATAGGAACTTATTTTTAGGATGTTTTTAAAAACATTAAATTAAAATGCCCTTAGATGCATGTGTTGTCCCAGTGTTAGTGTACACCATAGTACATGAGCAAAATTATTCCAATTAATTAAGTGTTTTAATGGCTGTCCAGCTTGCAAATTGTGACTCAATTGCTGATATATTGGTATTATGTGCAAATGGAACTGATGCAGAGATGCCTTAAATAGATACCTTCAAATAGAGAATATTTAAGCAGAAGCAATAGCTGTGTCCATCTTTCACTATATCTGTTCAGTTATTAGGGGCTTTGGGCTGTCAGATTCAGCCAGCACAGCACAGCAAATGCCACTGCTCAGTTTCACCTAGTCAATTTCACTGCCCCAGGCGCAAGCAGCGGAAAAGGGGAAGTCAGCCAAACCATGAGTTAATTGCCTACAGGTGGCGGCGGTTAACTCCGGCAGAGAACGGATACTTTGTATCACTGCCGGCTTCCCTCAAGCACCTCAGACAAAGAGAACCGCAGCAGCTGGGAAGCATAGCGATCAGCGCACAATTAAGAACTCCTGGCTTTACCTGCAGAAGGAAAGCCTAACAAACACAACAATCACACAAACAATAGACAGCAATCAAGAGGACAAAAGAACCGGACTGAATCTGCCATTTGTGTGAGGGGGGATTGCTGTGGTATCAGTAACTAGGCAACGAGGGAAAGCGTAGGAACAGGGCATCTATAAAACACCATGTGAGCTATGCCAAGCCAACCCTACAGGCTTTGTCTGTATCTACCTATGTTACACTCTAGTAAACTTCTTTTGCTGAACCTGCGTGTCACGAGAGTTTCATTGGAGCTGAACGAGGTAAACCTTACATGGGCTAGATGCTGGATTTTTAATTTTTTGTTCACTATTTCTGTTGTTATCGCCTTACACTGTCTGTATTTCAGGAGAGACCTCTGATGTAATTGCCTCACTCTCCTTAGTAAATGAAGCACAGTATCTCCTGATAAATAAAACAAGTATTTTACAACTGAGAGATCAGATTACTGCAAGGTAAGTGCTTTGTTTTCTGAAAAAGCAAATTTCCTTGCATCATGCATTTTTATCTTTTTTTTTATAACCAACATATTTCAGTCTAATAGACTTAATTCGACCTTACAAGAGAGTCTGCAGGATCTGACATTTTCATCAACATAACAAAAGCAGCTTGCATCCCAATGATGCCCCTTTCATACACACATGCCACACTTCAACTCACATACAAAAAGGGAAGAAGTGAAAAAGAAAAAGAGGTCCAACCCACCGCCCCTGCTCTGTGGGGTACCACAGGGCTTGGTGCTCTCTCCGTTCCTTTTTAATATCTACATGAAGCTGCTGGGTGAGATCATCTGTCACCAGGGGATGAGGTGTCATCAGTATGCTGATGATACTTAATTGTACATCGCCATCCCAGGTGAATTAAGTGATGCTGTGGATGTTCTTTTACAGTGCCTGGAGGCTATAGGGGTCTGGATGGGGAATAACAGGCTTCAACTGAATCCTGGCAAGATGGAGTGGTTGTGTGTTCGGGGCTCTTCCGTACCATCTTTGGTTTTGGATGGGGTAGCACTGCCCCAGACAGATCTGGTGTACAATCTGGTGTGCTCAAGGAGCAGGTGGCAGCCGTGGCTAGGAGGGCCTTTGCTTAACTTCATGTTGTGTGCCAATTGCACCCTTTCCTGGATTGGGAGGCCCTTCTCTCATGCCCTGGTCACCTCCCGTATGGACTATCGCAACATGCTCTACATGGGGCTACCCTTGAAGAGTATTTTGAAGCTACAGTTGGTGCAGAACGCAGTGATACAGGCAGTGATGGGCGCCTCTAGGACTGCACAAGTAACATCTCTGCTGCGTGAGCTGCATTGCATGTTGGTCTCCTTCCAGGTCCAATTCAAGGTGTTGGTTATGACCTTTAAAGCCCTTAATGGCATGGGTCCAGGTTACCTGAGGAACTGTCTCGTCTCCATTACATCGACCCATCTCACCCGGTTCGCCACAAAGGGTATGTTACAGACCCCATTGCCTAGAGAGTTCTAACTGGTGGGGTCCAGGAGGAGAGCCTTTTCTGCCATTGTTCCCACCCTCTAGAATATCTTGCCCCCTGAGGTGAGATTGGCCCCCACTCTGCTGGCCTTCCGAAAGGGCGTTAAGACCTGGCTCTGCCAACCTGCACCCAATGGGGATTGACAGCACTGGGGGTGACTGGTAGCCTGAGGATGTTCTCTCTGCTTTTTAGTTTGCATTATAGTTTTTAACTTAATTTTAACCCTTTGTAATTTTTAACATACATATATATAAATTTTCCCCTCTCACCCCTGTGGGTGGTATGTGTCTTCCTCAATCTCAGGTCCTCTACCAGAGGCCTGGGAGTTTGAGGGGTCTGTGCAGTATCTTAGCTGTTTGTAGCACTGCACTCTTCTGGACAGAGAGCTCTGATGTTGGGATCTGGGATCTGTTGGAGCCACTCTCTCAGCTTAGGAGTCACAGCCCTGAGTGCTTCTACCACCACTGGGACCACTTTGGC